GACATTGTTGTGTTGTTACGTTGTACGTTGAGGTTGTTGTTGTTGTTGTTGTTGTTGTTGTTGTTGTTGTTTTTGCTGTTGTTGTTCTTTGTTGTTGTTATTGTTGCTGCTGTTGGCATTATTGTTTCTGCTGTTATTATTATTGTCATATTTGTTAATGTTGTCGTTACTGCTACTGTTGAAGTACGTCTTCAAGGTCAACACGTCACAGGTGAGGTACAAAGAGAAAAACACAAAAACAAAGCGGGGAAAATGGAAGGACCAGGATGTACGACGCCCACTAGACACCACACACAAACACCTGTACACACCTGACAGGAGCACTGGAGAGTCCAGGCTTTCATCAGCAAAGGACAAATAGTGAACAATTTTGTCAATGACTGATATATAGGGAGACAGACATACTTATACATCACATACTTCGTCAGTTGTCACAGACAAACAGAAATAGACACAAGAAGGTGGCGTCGGTAGCCTGGTGGTTAGGCTACCGGACTCGTAACCGTGAAATCTCAGGTTTGGGGGTTCGAGCCTCAGCATGGTCCGACGTTTTGTCACTGGGAAAGGCACTTTACATGAACTTCCCCATTTGACTCGGTCCTTTCGGAGATGGACGTTAAATTCGGAGGCCTCGCCTCTTAAATAACCTAATAGTGTTGAAAGAGGCGTTAACTCATACCATTTTCAGACTCAAAAAGACTGAAGACAACTCAAAGTTCACCTATCTGTCTCAGACAATAATGCGTCCATCTAGCCCAGTGCTCGCCAACCACTAGTTGGCAATTTGGTCATTTTGGTGGGTGGTGGTGATCCCCCGGGTAGAGGCAGCTGTTATTTAACTAGCTGGGCCCCCTTTCGATGAAAGGAATGGTGGGTGCATTAATATCAACTGAAAATCATTGGCCTACTATATTTACACTCTACTGGAATGGAGCAATAAATCTTGAGAGAAAAGTGACACATGTGTTTCCAAGTTGCCAAATATATAACAGATGTATCGATTGATTCTCTATTCCGCTTTTGTGGTTGTACACTCCAGAATTTCAAAGGTGTGAAACAGTGCGTACGGCTAGTGAACGGAAACCTCACTTGTTTACAATGACGTCTTAGAAGACGGACTTTCCCAAGATTAGATCTAAACGAAACTAATGAAAAACTAAAAAATTAAACTACACTGACTTCAGGCTCCTCAACAGAACTGTCACCCTTTAAATGATTCTGAATTACGGTTGTGTCAAATTCGAAAGTAAAGTGGTTCGGAAGTTTTAGGCAGCCAAAGTGACGAACTTTCACAACTATAATATATATATATATATATAAAGATGTCCCAGTTGAAATACATTGTAGCTAGGTGGGCGATACCAAACTGTTTGTCTCAAAGGTAGCAAAAGTGGGCGGTGACAAAAGTAAATCTGATTTGTGACCTCAGTGTCTTAGCGACAGTACTCCAAACGGCCAAAGCTGTCACATAGAACTGTGTAACAAGTGGTCTCTTTTAAGGACAAGCGGGCTATCCCGAAAAACGCTGTTTTGAGAAAATCGAAAAAGTTTTTTGGATCTTATTCAGTCTCTTTAAAAGGCAATGAGAGTATAGTTTTCTCTATAACCAAACAAATATACACACCAATGAAACCAAACTTCTATAGGTAGGGCAATGCCCACTTTTGGTGTAGGTCAAGATTTCTGGAAACCCCCAAAACCCTGGGTTAGCCCGCTTATCCTGAAAAGCGACCAATTGTAAGGTGGTGTCGACTACAGTTCCGGGGCCCGCCTGACCTGAGAGAGATCCACTGTGACCCTCTGACCGATGGACGGTGGCCAGTGTGGAGCCGCTGTTGCTGCCCCCATGTCTGCCTGGCCCGTCGGAGGTCCCTGAGTGTCTGGACGAGTGACCATCGACCTGTCTGGACGAGTGACCATCGACCTGTCTCGACGACGACTGACCGTCGCTGTGCCGCGGGCTTTGGTCGACAGAGAATCCGTAGCTTTGGTGGCTGTCCTCGAAACTCATCTCCCGGTCACCTGAGAAGGATGGGCACACGTTTGCGACTGAGTAAGAGTTTTTCGTTTTAGTAAACGTTTTATGGCACTTGCAACACGATAAGACCATATAAGTACCGAAGATTATAGTTTAGTTTTAGTAGAGATTTTACGGCGCTCGCAACTGCATAAGGTCGTATGAGCGCCAGAAGATTACAGATGTTACAAGAGAGTAAGTAACATAAAAAAGGAGGGGAGATAAGGACGATAGATGTTTGTTAGTGATAGGAAAGAAGGAGCAAACTACACAGAGCACGCGCCAACCACCCATGAGTAAGACGTTTACAGCCCTTCCGACACGAACAGGTTACATAAGTGTTGAAGATTGGAGGTGTGGTTAATTAGTGGTATACACAGAAAAGGAGGAGAGATA